AGCAGGGAACATCCCCCTGGGGGTCGGCGTGCAAACTTACTGCCATAAAAGGTCATGTGAGGGAGACGGCGTGAGGGAGGCGGGGATAGACGAGAGGCGCCATGCTCACTGTCAGCGCGAGAAGGCCTCACTTTCCTGTCAATCTCCTCGGCCGAGCTTTTAAATCGACAAGACTAAAATCCTAAAACACTGCTGCAAGCAGCTCCTGGAGTCTGGACATTAAAACCCAAACCAAGCAGCAGTGAGGTTCCCTATGTTCCCATGTTTTTGTGTCCAAGTGGCTAATGGGAACAACATTTTCTAAAATTGGTGCAGTATTGAGGGAGAACAAAACGGGCTGTGATGTCATTCAGATTTCAGAATGAGATTTCTCCTGACGAGACACACAATAACAAACAGACTGGATCAAGTGACAGGTGAAGACATGGGTTTTATTTCTCTGTAGGGTTCTTTCCATAATGTTATCAGACATTTATAATAATCTGTTCGTGGCAAAAACAGGCACTTTTAGTGGACGTACATAGACAGAGTCGCCTCGAGCGATTACATTACAGTCTGTTTAGCGGCTGCTGTCTGCAGTGTTCTCCTTCAACAGTGGACCAATTACAAAACATGTTGTCCCCCATTAGTCAGTCTGACACAAAAACACAGGAACGTAGGGGGTTGAAAAGGTTGAAAATAACAACGTTACCCTTTACGTTTGTCCTGAGGTAGACTAAAGGTTATGATTAAAAAAAAACTAAGTAACACAACTGGTCTGTTAAAGTGTCGTGTCCTGAAGGTGGGGCTGGAGGAAATGTGCTTAATAAATGACCTGTCTTTTACATTTATAACAGGCAGGGTAGGAAATTTACATATTTTTTAGGGGGCAATTTTTGCCCCCACTGACTAAAAAAAAATTGGGGGCACTTTTTGAAACTTGTGAAATAACATTTAACCTTTGTTCAAAATAATAAATATACTTATTTAGGCTTACAGTATATGAGCAATTGTCATCAAATGGCAATAAGACTATTAGGCAGTAGTCTACAGATTCAAAGTGTTTTTAGATTTTTTTTAACAAAAAACAAACAATCATATTCAATTTTATTCTTATTTCTTTGTAGTTATTTATTGTTATTATTACATTTTTTTAAACAACTAGTAACAATTATTAAGTCAACGATGCCTTGATTACATATACATCAGTCATTGTATGGAATTATTGAGAAAAATATTTTTATAGCACCTTAAAATTTTTTTAAATGTGCCATTTGAAGGTACAAATTCAGTTCAGAGTTTTTGCTTAGTAAAATATCTTAATTGACTGTCAGTCAGGTATTATTCATTTCCAGCAACCCTCAAATCAAAGAATGAAGACACTTTGCACACAATTTAGGTGTATTTTCCCTTTAACTCACGAGATGCAGGTAGCATGTTTTATACTTAATGTGAATATAATTCATTTAATCTAATTTCCATTATGCAATATGTATACTTTGTTGGCATCTTATTCTGAAAACCGGATGTTCGTCTGAAGAAACCGGATGGTGTCTCACGTTTCCGCTAACTTTCAAAGTCCTTCGCTCGCTCCTGATCTGCGCCGTTTACCGTGAATTTCAGCATGTAGGTGCACTACAATTTAAGTGTCTGCTGAGTTGACCGCAGTCTCGCAGTCACAGGTCTGATGAAGAAGCGCTCCATTTATTTATTCGTTTAGAAAGTTTGGTTCTTCACGCACACGCAACATCAGTCAAGGCGAAAATCAAAACTATTCTATGGCAACTGGACTGGGTCATATAGGCTACGATGTTTTTGACAAGTTCATTAAATTATCATTATTAGAGGAAATGATGGGGCATTTTTTGCCCCCCTCCTAGTGATATCAGGGGCAAAATTATATTTCTTATTGGCATTTTTGCCCTTTGCCCTCGTGTATTTCCGACGCTGATAACAGGTATTGACCATGTCTCCTGTACAAGTTGATACTTTAGCTTAACAGTGGCTCTGGGGGTAAAGGTCAGCGGTTCACTGAAAACATCAGAGTTCATCCTCTTGTAATGGACAGTTAATGCCACCAGCAAATGGATTGGATGGATGAGACATTCTGAGCTCTGTTGCTAGTCGGGCATGAACAAATTTGCACCGTGTTTGACAAACTCTTCACTATGTCACCTGGAATATTTAACCACCATCTGTATTTGTATGTTTTGTACAGTAACACAATTTTTATTTTATTTTTTTTAACAAAAAAGTGATGTGGGAGACCACCCAGCATCATCAAAAGCTCCAAAACGTTTGGTGAGGAAATATGACCCTAAATACATTACATTTTGATTCATTATGGCATCACAAGATGAGTGAGGGAGAGCAGCATTTTTATTTTTGTCATTAGCTGACAGTGGCATAACATATTTAGGCTACAGCCCACTTTATTTGTTCCTCCTTTTTCTAAGTTATCAGAACAATCAGAGGTGGGCCTTAAAAACCCTGCAATAGTGCACACGTACTCTGTCATCAGACCTGAGGTTCTCACAGTGGAGCCTGTAGACTTCACTTCATAAGGCCTTTGGGGAATCTGCAGCAAAATGAGGATCTGCTTAATGTTGGTTGTTTCTAATTAATACATAAGAAATAGGTAACAACAACCATAAGAGTGAGAAAAGTCTGTCCAGATGCAGTTTCCTGGGATGAAGTCAGTGTTCTAAACCTGCATTGAGGCAGAGTGAGGCAGAAACAACTCAATCTATCTCTAACCAAAGGGAAGGCTTAATTAAACACAAGGTTATCCAGACAGCTGTCGACAGAGAAATAAATAAATAAAATAAATCACTCGCAGTGAACAACTTTTCCACCGACAGTGGAGTTTATCATCCGGCCGCACATTCAAGCAAACGTGCAGACAATCAATATGACCCAGTTTTTGCCTCTGCGTCGGCACAGTGAGCTACAGTGTGACTTTATGGAGCGTTTTACAGTCTGCTGGACGGTTAGAACAATCGTCCCCCTCTGGAGCTTTTTTTAAGCGGTGCAAAAGCATACTAATGTTTTCTCTATGACAGCGAAAAAGGGGGAGGGAACAACAATGATTATGATTAGAATACACACACTTCATGCACATGAAATCTCTCTCCCCCTCCCTCCGTGTGTCTCTTACTCCTTCTCTCTCAACCTGTATGGATCTAGTCTGGACTCTGACTCCATCTAGTGAGCAAAAATTTCCATCAACTGAACCTTGTTGAAGATATCTACAGGCACAGAGCAAGACTGCATCTCCATGTTACCTTTAAATATATACGGTGTTACATGCGTGTGGTCTTAAATATATACGTGTTACATGTGTGTGGCCTTAAATATATACGGTGTTACGCGTGTGGTCTTAAATATATACGTGTTACATGCGTGTGGTCTTAAATATATACGTGTTACATGCGTGTGGCCCTAAATATATACGTGTTACATGCGTGTGGCCTTAAATATATACGGTGTTACATGCGTGTGGCCTTAAATATATATATGTGTTACATGTGTGTGGCCTTAAATATATACGTGTTACATGTGTGTG